TAATAAAATAATGGATTTATATAATAATGGTGCTAATATCATATACAAAAAAGATAATCAGGCATTATTGTACCTCGTGATAGAAATATACAAGATTTTGAAGCGCCAAAAAAAGTGCCAAATTCTTAAAAAAAAATTTTTTTTCAAGCTTCTCAATCTAACTATCAACTCACAGGACACACACAGAACAGATGAGCCTATTTAAACTACACCAACTAGAATACAATCAGTAAAATCCAAGCTGTGGGAAACTATATTTGACAAGCAATCTAGTTTTGATAACAAATAAATTTGAAAAAAAAATAAAAAGAAGTAAATAAACTCAGAATAATTTAAACATTAACTGGTTAACTGATTTGAAGAGACTATTCCTTATTTCTCTTAGGTGTAATAATGTTTCTAAAGTCCTAAGGCTGAAATATTTACAGATAAAATGTGCTATGTTATCTGGGATATGCTTCAAGATAACTGAGAACAAAGTGAAGAGGGGTACAGATAAAACAATGTTAGCCAGGAGGTAATATTAGCTTAAGTTCGGTGATAATATCCTGAATTAATTATATAATTCTTTGTACTTAAAATTTTTTTTTCCATAAAAGTAGGAAGAAAAGCTAACTGCAACATTTTATTAAAAACATGAACTTCTCTTAAAACCTGTTAAGTCAAATATTTAATAGTTCTGAAAACAATCATATGACTCAAACTCATGACAAGTTTCCTTAAAGTTAAAAAGGAAGTGTTGATGTATTGAAATGAAACCAAGAGCTACCTAATGTCTTATATTTAATTGACCATATTTACTATAATATTTTAATTCTGCTCATTTTCCAATTTTGGCAAGGAACAAGAATGATGATCATGAGTCATTATTCTATTTTTATGCAAATAAATAAAAAAGAAATATGGTCATCCAGGCAGGTCCCCCAAAACACATTGTATTCCAGACACAGAAGTTTATTTAGCCAGTTATCTCAAATTTGATATTGAAGTACCATAATTTCATGATTCTTACAAAACAATTTTATAATTCTTACAAAATCAAAACAAAACTGTGGAACACTGTGGAACAACTACAAACCGTCAGCCTAGGTTTAATTAAGGGGAAGAAACTTATTGCAAAAGACAAGTGGTATTCAGTCAAGCAATAATTCAGAAAGCTCTTCTAAAAACCCTCTACTACATATCAATTTATTACCCTAAAGTCCCTGCTGCTTGAATTGGAGATTTTAATATGCACAAAACATGCAAAACCAAAAGAAACACATCTTCTTGGAGTGTTCATTTTATTCAATAATTTTTGTGATGATAAAAATCCTAAATTTTTGTGCTTTTAAAAAGTTCTGTGAAGTGGATTCATAAGCAAATCAACAATATCTTGCTTTTCTTTGTAGGGAATCGTTAAGTTTAATGGTAAAAATATGGAGAAATGAAATTTTTATACATATATGCATACTACTCAGAAATTATGACAGTTTTGTATTATCAGAGTTAATAATATTTAAAAATAAAATCATTTGTCTATTAAATATTCCAACTACAACTACGAATCAGAGGTTAAAAGCAAAAGTCTGGAAGGTAAGCTTGAAACCACTGAGAAATTCAGGGCTCTTACAGCAATGTTTAAAAAACAATTACACCAACTCTAATAAAATTATCAGATTGTTTTACAAACGAAAAAGAGAAAATTTGCTTCTAGTTTTCCTTGAGGTCAGNTTTATCTTAATTGTTCTTTCTTAATTGGGAGTTTCCAAATAATTTCCTCTAAACACGATAAACTATTTTGATGCTATTTTCAAAATACTAATTTGGAAGTGCTACTATTTAGGACATCCAGCCCGGTCCCCCTTATTTATTTGGCGCTCTGCTTGGTAATACAGCAGGTCCTCGAATGACATTGCTTCCTTCAACATCGTTTCATTATAAGATTGTAGAAACTTAACTCGTTTATATCAATTAGCCTACGGTAAATTTGGTTTCATTATGGGACGTTTCGCTTCAAGTCAAAGAACCTATTGATGACATTAAGCGAGGACTTACTGCACTTATAAACACATAATGGACAAAGAATGTTTCATCTCCTTAACCTCACTGGCAACATGAACTTACGCTGGCTGCCGGCAGGTGTATTAGCTTAGTCTGAGTTGTCTTGTTGACTCTTTCTATATTTCTCTATTCTAAGATCAAGATTATAATCACTGATATTTCAGCTTTTCTGAATATTCCATCCCAAACCATGTATCATTCTGTTTTCACACTGGCAGTTTTCTTCTTCAGGGTAGCTTTTAACATCTTCACCTTAATCATAACCTCTTTAGGGATAATTAAAGTACAGAAAAACCTTGGATTGCGAGTGTTCTGCAAGACAAGCAAACATTTCTAATACATTTTAACGTGGTAAATGAGCTACGTCTTGCATTTTTGTTTCCAGAATGAATTATGCTCGCAATCCAAGGTATTATTGTATTCTATTTATTTTTTCCTACTATTCTTACTTGTGCAGTCTCTGCATTTTCCAACATCTCTTCGAATTCCTGATACTCCTCATCATCTGGTTCAGCACCTGAGAGTCGAGCTGCCCTGGCCATGAAATATGGAGGCAGCTCTCCGATTGCAGTACCGACACCCTATGTGAAAAAAACAAAACACACATGAGATCCTGTTCTCAACACAGTGATAGTAAACAGATCAAATCTATAGTTTTCTATATCACCAAAAGCATGGTAAGATGTATGTATCAAGGAGAAAAGCATAGGTTAGTACATAATCAGGAAGATGTGAGTTTGAATCTTGGCTCTAATACTGACTTACGCAATGAATGCCACGCAAGATAATACACACAAAACTCTTAGACAACCCCTGGTGTATTGCAGACACTAAATTAATATTAGTTCTCTGGCATTTCTACTTATATTCTGTTATTTTTGACAGTTTTTCCCCCCATTTTCAAATATTCAACTGATTTGATAATGAGCACTCACTACACTACTACTATAGCTATTAGACAAATATTCTGGAAAATCTTCTGAGATTTAAGATGTTGCTTTTTTTATGCAGAGTTAAAACTTTTAACAAATTGTGGTCAGGAAGCCCCTTGAAAACTCAACATTAGGATGGATAAATTTTCACCACAGGAAAAATGTTTATTTCCTCAGGACAATGAGTGACTCATGTTTCAGTCTCTTTGTGGATTCTTGTTTTTGAAGACAATTTTTTCTCAATCAACTTAGGATATAAGGATGAAAACGAAAATAAAAGAATCAGAAACTTGGTTTGGACATAAATGGCTTAAATATGGGATAAGTAATAATGTAAGAGGCGCAAAGTCTCTAGGAATATTCTCAATTTTGAGCCATCCTTCTCTGCCCTGAATAACAGAGAGTGAAAAAGCTTTGCTAGTTCTCAGAAGTAACTTTAGGCCTTTTTGCTCTGTCCTATGGCTCTGTTTGCAACTGCCTTGAAAAGAATCCCCAAGGAACATTATCAAATTCAAACACTGTGTGATCACAGTATGTGGAATCAATGATCTCCAAGTGAAACTGCATTATCCACATGTGAAACAAGAGTTCTGAAAACGGACATACTTATGTGCCAAGAAAGTATGATTATATTTAAAGAACAGAGAGAAGAGAGGGAGGAGAGACATATACAGAGAAAGATACAAAATGAAGCACAAATCATACTTTGCCAAACATGAAAAGTTAGCCAACTTTGAGGGATGTTAAAAACCAACTTATTGGGCCGGCCGAGTGGCATGGTGGTTAAGAGCTGGCTTGGGACGCCAGAGGGCCC